ACCGCGCGGCAAAAGCACGAGAGGTTGGGACTGCCATTGGTGACCAGGAGGGAAGTTATCAGATTTTTATAGGGAATGTAGGGTTTAGGGTTTAGGGTTTAGGGCTTAGGATTGAGGGTTTAGGGCTTAGGATTTTATAGGGAAGGTTCGGGAATGTATAGGACTACATAGCAACTTTGTAGGGGTTATAGAAGGATCTTTAGGGGGCTATATGGGGATAGATAGGGTTATCTAGGAATTTTATGTGGTTATATGGGTCTACATCTAGGGTTAGGTAGCAACTTTATACGAGGGTATCCAGGATAGATATGGTACTTTCCCTAAATAGGGGGACCCCAATGTAGACCCCAAAATGCCATAGTCCTTCTTTTAGGGACCCCCAAAATGGTACCCCTAGTTGTGGGAAACTCCCAGGCCAACAGTCAACCTTCTAGTTACGTAGGGATTAAAGTGTGACCAAGGCGAGGTGTGCAGCAAGGGCATCTTCAACTGTGGCGACATCCCAGCATCCTGTAAGGGCAATGTCTGGGACACTGCTGCATATGCCTTTGGGTCCTACTACAAGGGCTTGCGCAAGAAGTCCAACAAGGTGCATCCACTCTACGACTGCGAGTTTACAGGACGAGCTGTCTTTGCAAGCCCAAAGCTGTACGATACCTTCAACCTCACCAAATCGTGCATCGTTTCTGTAGAGACACTTGCCGACACCAACTATTCGTAAGCCAAAATACTTGGCTGACAAATGCCAAATAGCCGTGTTGACATTCTAAATCCTGCATACAGCATACAGCTTGAACTGTTCTGACAAGCCTGTGTAAATTGCAGTATGCTTTCAATTTCTGGAACATGAAGAATGGTGCAAAATGTGCAGGGTTTGAGTCTTAGCAGACTGAGCGCCTTGCGGGTAAAAAAAATGATGGCAGCGCTTTGCTTTTGCATGCAAGCCGTGTTTAGAGTTTAGGGTTTATGGTTTAGGGGTTTGGGGTTGGGGCTTTAGGGAATTGCAAACAGTCTTGGGTGTCCTTACGGCCGGTCAAACAGCTCGAATTCTCCCAAACGGGCTCCTTGCAAGTGGGGAGAGTTTTTGTGCAGTGTATAGTCCCACTATAAGTAGATAGAATATGGCTTTGTTTGTTGTAATAAGATCCCCATACACCCCATATTCTATCTACTTAAGTTGGACTTTTTGCCTACATAGACTGGCCGTCTGCTTTCCGTGCATGTGATGCGAAGGTATTTCCCATGGCCGTATAATTACAAGGAGTTGCGTCAGCACAAAAAGCCCCAAACCATACTTAGAGGCTATCAGAAGCTGGGAGGACTTGAATAAGTAGGTTCATGTAGACCCCTGATTCATAATCTTCCTCCCCTTCCTCTTAATGGGAAATGCAACAGGGATTCTAATATTAAGGCCCTAAAAAGGAGGGGGTTGGTTAGTCGGGGTCTACATTACGTAGGTTATGAAGCGGGTTATATGCAGGCCAGCAGCGAACCCCAATTGGGGGGAATTCGAATCCATTCATAGTTTACTTCCGTACAAAATCCCCTGAGCGTTCCAGTATGCCGCCCTGAATCCTTTGTCTCCCCCTCTAACCCCTATAAAATCCTCCTCATCCACCCTTTGAACCCAAGATTGGACAAAAGCTGCACAGGGCGAGGTTCCTATTTCAGCTTTTGGTTCCTGTTAAGGAAGCCATAATGTGGGAGTTCTCATAAAGCAGGTGTCAGTTTCAGGGGCTTACCTATAATGAAGGTTGTAATTTACTGGGGTCTTTGTCCGGCGCCTGCTTTTTTGGAAGCCCTCTTGACATTACAGTTTAGGGTTTAGGGTTTAGGGGTTTTGTTCGCCAGTACACACCTAACATATTGGGGTGATGTTAGTATGCAGCGATAAACTGTTTCATGGGTGCATCATCAAATAGCGTAGCTTACTTTACTTCGCTGCTTATACAGCCCATGTTAGCCTAGCTTCCTCTTTTCCATGTGGTTCTCCTCCACGGAAACTTATAGCCCGAAATTCTGAATCCTGAATGCCTATATCCCCTACAACCCCCATTAACCCCTAAAGGCTCCCTTTTATCTCCCTTTGGAATGCTCATTTTGGCCTCAATTGAATTCCTCCTTGTCACTTAGCTTGGGCCTTGCGCCCGCCTTAAAGATGTTTTTTAATAGGGGTGCTAAGTGCCAATCCTAAGCCCTAATCCCTAAACCCTTAATCCCTAAACGCTAGTCCCTAAACCCGAACCCCTAAACCCTAAATCCTAAACCTTAACTGAAGTGCCGGAAAACAGGCCTTTAGACCGTGTGGCCAGGCAGGGCAAGGGCGCAAGCGTCTCCGCGAAGAGGAGGTCTGGAGCCCGAAATGTGGTTTAAGGTTTAGGATTTTGGATTTAGGGTTCAGGATTAAGGGTTTAGGTTTAGATTAGGGTTCAGGGTTTAGGGTTTAGTGATTAGGTTCAGGGTTTAGGATTTAGTGATTAGGGTTCAGGGTTTAGCGTTTCTGTGGTTTACGGAGTAAGGATTAGGGTTTAGGCTTTATGTGGTTTGGGGTTGTGACCCGGAAATTCCTTAAACATGATTTGTGTTTTCTGCAAGCTACTGTCCACAAGAAACAATCGACAACCAATTTTCTAGAAGGAGTCCAGGGAACCTAGGGTGACCTTGCAGGGCACCAAGTTATATTTGCATGGTCTGAATAAATAGATACATAGATAAATATATCTGTATGTGTATTTGGAGATGTGTGTGTGTGTTTACTTATGTGCACCTTTAGACGGTCGCAGATTGTGAGAGTGGTGTAGATTTTCAATCCCCTACGCGGAGGTTGTGCGCAGAAAATTTAGGCAGATCGTCGAGGGTTTCCGAAAACAACGAATTCTCAGTATTTTAGGGTCCATATTCTATTACCCCTTCTTTTCGCGGGAATGGGGATGCTAAGTATCCGAAACCCTTAAACCGCAGGGTCTTTGGGGTCTCCAGCTGACACCCCTGGGAGGATCTATACAGTAGATCCGTCTCATGGGCTTTGTAGACGTGAGTTTTTTTAGTTCAGGGTTAAGGCCTTAGGGTTTGGTAGACACATGCTTTGGTTACATACATACTGTTGATGGAGGAAATCTTGCACCACCTTAGGTCCCTAAAGTCTTAGGAATTACTGCATTTCAGGGCCCATGAGTGGTGCAAAATTTCATCCATCAACAGTAGGGTACCAACTTGGGGGCTCTGCTTTCTAGATCCTCCTATGTGCCTGCGTGACAGAACGTGACGAGTCGGCTGAAGCTCTCTAAGCCCTGGAACCCCAAGCCGAATGCCTGAATGCGATGCGCGTCTTGAAGCCAAATGAGTAGTGTTTTATTTGGGGATGCTATTGTACCCAATATAGAGTAAGATTCTATCCTCTCTTTGGGTATAGTATTTTATATCAGGAATATAATCTTACTAGGTTCATACACCAAACAAATTACTCAAATGATTCCAGGGTGTCGCGGTTGTGCCTTGTGGCAGCCCTGTGTTTAGGGACCCCTTTGACTCTCTGAAAGTTGGTTACGTAGGGATGTAAGGGGATACATAGGAAGGAGGGTCTAGGGTTTCCAAGCATTCGGATGGAGGCTTGATAATGCAGATTCTAGTGTATATATATATATATATGTATATACATGTGTCTGAAATGGCGCCCCTATTCATGAAAACCCAGATCATGCACAGCCTATGCAAGGAGCATGCAGAGGCATGGTGCACCCGGAACTGACGTGCTGCAACCAGATGAATCCAGTTCACGGCAGTTCATGTTGTAGCGGTTCCATTGCAAGACAAAGGTACCACTTGACGCCGATAGTCTTGGTGAGGGGGGGCTTTTGGCAAGCTGACCTTTGCACTGCTGGCTTGCGAGGGAAAGAGGCCAGCCTGCACAGATACTTGAGGGATTTTGGGTAATATGAAAATGGGTAGAACTTTCCCAAGCTAAGAAGTGAAGTGTAACTCCGAATTATCAAAAATCATACCCCAGAATTTGCTACCCATGACCCATGTAGAACGCATGGCTCAGCATTCGAAGTTTGCGACCTCCACAGGCTTCAGAACCCTAAACCGTAAGCCCTAAACCCTAAACCCTAAAGCTTGAAAGAAGCAGCCCAGGGCATCTTTCAAGCGCGCCAGGATTTGGGCTTTTATTCTGGCTGTGTGCGACACCAGATGAAAAAAGAGGGGCTGTACCTCTTTAGGGCTTAGAGTTTAGGGGGTGGAAGCTACGATAAAAGTATCTATCCTAGGGTTATAATAGGGATACTGGAGAAGAAAATTGAAATTACTATTTAGGGTTTAGGGTTTCGGGTTTAGCCTTACCTCTGAGTGCCGCAGCTGCATCCCAACATCATGTGCCCTTTGGCCGAGTGACTTGCCCGTTGTTCACATGAGCTATACTGTCAATATTATATAGCCTCATTAAGGGACCCTCAGCAGTGGACATAGGGGTCCGTTTTGTAGTTTAGTTTAGTCCCTAGTATTTTCCTTAATAAGGAACCCATGTCCATTTGTTTCCTGGTAGAAACATTGACTGTATGTAGCTCACATGGTAACCTGGCTTTCAGTTCTTGGCACCGCAAAACCAACTTCAGCTGTCCTGCAACCTGAGGAATTTCCAGGTGGGTAGCTTTCCCCAGATCAGCTGTAGATAGCCCATATATACTCCTAGGCTTCCCAGCCTTATGTAAGAG